TAAAATCCAAAGCTTTTTGAGCATCAACATGATGCTACAAGTGGAAAATTCCACACCTAACGTTATCTGATGACTCACAGTCAAAATAGAAAAACTTCATTTCATGCACAAAATTATTGAAAATATTGTATAAAATTACCCTTAGGTTATGTGTATAAGGTGTATATGAAACATACATTTCATGTTTAGACTTGGGTACCATCCCAGAGATATTTCATTATGTATATGCAAATATTCCAAAAGTTCAAAAACATCTGAAATCCACAATACTTCTGGTCCCAGGCACTTGAGATAAGGGACACCTGTACTAGGTGTTTTCACATGTTATCTCATTTACTGATAACAACCATGTGAAAAAAATATATTACTGCCATTTTATTATGAGAAAAAGTAAGACTCAGAGAGAATAATTAGGTTTCCTAAGCCCACACAATAAGTGATGGAACTGGGAAGAGAGTGTAGCACAGGTTTAGGGTGAGAAACAATTGGATTAAATGTCCTTCAGTATTTGAATACAAAAATTGTGGTATGTTCTTATAATCGAATACTACTGAACAATAAAAACTAATAAACTACTGATAAATGTAACAATATGGTTTAATTTCAAAGTAACAATGCCAGTGAATAAAACCAGGTATGAAAAACCACATAATGTATGATTTCATTTTTATAACTCTAGAAAATGCAAACTAATCTCTATTGACAGAAAGTAGATCAGTGTTTGCTTAGAGAGGGGGCAAGTTGGGAAGTGGCAGGAAGAAACTTTTGGAGGTGATAGATACGTTCATTATCTTGACTGTGGTGATAGTTTCATGGGTGTATACATATGTCACAACATCAAATTATACACTTTATGTATACTTATGAATGTCAATTATATCTCAATAAAGCAGTTAAAAACAACTGGGTTGAAATCTCTGTTATACTACTTACAAAATGCTTAATCTCTGAGACTACATTTTTTAAAAATCAGTTAAATGGAGTTGCTAATGCCTACTACGGAGGGTTGGTGTAAAGATTAAATCAGTAAGGCACGTACTTAGCACGCTGCGTAATACAATAGTAAGCATGCAGCAGTAGTTATATAAAGAGTCCTAGACTGAGTTCTTCCTTCTTAGAGCTTTCTCCACTTTAATTAATCATGTTAGTCCTTTTTATTTACAGCTGGAATTCAAACACATCAGTCTTACTCCAAAGACCAAGATCTTTCCACTAAACTATGCTAAGCCATAACAAATTTTATGATTTGAGTTGAGGAGGGCATCCCATGATCAGACACCAGGCTCAGAGTATTCCACATAAATGCTCCTCTGTCTTATCCCAGGGTCTAGAAAAGTCACTCTGGGCCAGGGAGGAAGACCAGTAGTTCCGCTGCATATTCTTTACCTATACTCCTTCAGATTCTATCTCTGCTCCTTTTATCAGATCCCTACTGGCTAAACAGCAATGAAACTGCTTATGCAGTGTAAAGATAAATTGAGTGCAACAGGTCCTGTTTCTCAGGAGTTTGCCCTGAATAGCAGTCCAAACTAGATGTAATATTGGGAGAATAGCATTCATTGAGATTAACTGACCTACTCTTTAGGAAACATTTGCCTTCCTGGATAAAATAGTGTATTAAGCATGTTTACATCATGCATTAAAAATGTTATACTGCATATTACACATCACACATTTAATTTTAAACTATATGTAAATTTATAAAATATATAAACAATGATAAAGCTCCCATGTTTATTTCCTAAAGAGTACTGTTAAGAGTAATACATCTTTAATATGTCCAATCAAGAGGCCATTTCATAGAATTATGTTTTTTGTTGTTGTTGTTGATTTGTTTTTTCTCCAAGTGATAATCATTGAGAGGGTCAAAACAAGCAGAATTTGTGGTATGCTGACATCTTATAAGATTGTCCTTGGACATTCTAATTTGCCAAAATTTGGACCCCCTGATACTATAGCTCTTTCCTTGGCCTACTACCCCCAGGCCTCTTCTCACAGTGCCCAGACCCTTATTCTTCTGAGACCGTTCTTTCTCCTCTTTTCTCACCCTCCCTCTGCCTACTCCTATGAAGCAGCAAAAACATTCTCCTAGACCCAGACTGAGCAGCTTAGTTCTTGTCTCTGAAGCCTTGGTTAGCATCAGCCATATGGCATCCTAAGAACCTTACCTTCGACTCCATTTTTTTTCAAGGTTTTAAATTTTCTTTCAAAGAAAGGCACTTTTCTCTCTTAGAGAAATTCTGATGCCATCTATAAAGAAATATGTTCTCCACGTTTCACAAGGGAATGAATAAATTCATGAATAGGTAAGTAGAGATGGTGAATGCAGGCTGCTGTTTCAAAAAATCTAGTGATAATGCAAAGGAAAGAAGTGTGCAACAGTTGTAGAAGGTGGTAAGGTAATGGGATATAGAAGTCAGAGGAGTGACAGAAATTGGGAATTTAGAAAAGATGCAGGTTAGTCGCTGAGGCAAGTGCTGAAGAGGAGGGAGGGGCTGATCTCCAAAGCAGAGTAGGGCTGGAAGGCCAGCCTAGAGCAGGAGGAGACAACACTTCAGAAGTTGCTATTGAGGGAAGTTTGCAGGTAGAAGAGAAGGAGATGAGTCATATCATCATAAAAAATACCACCTGGTGAGAATAAAAGTGAAAGCAAATAAAGGAGTGTGAATATTGATTCAAGTAACTTTCATGGGAAATGGGAAAGAGAATTGGAAAAGTAAAAGGAAAGCCTTTAGACCCCAGCTGAGACAACAAACCTAATAGGCATAGTAGAGAGATTTCTTCCAACAATCTTCTCCTGTTTTTCCTGTTAATGGGATAACTCTTAAGAGTTACAATTTTCATGGTTACAAAATATTTCATCAAGTAGATGTATGATAATCTATCAAGATTACTCAATTCCTTTTCAAATGAATTAAAATGTGGTATTTTTAAAAAGACAACTAAGCATACTTTAATTACCTGTAAGAATATTGTCTACCTACAAATAATTAAAGTCCCTAAAAAAGGAAGCAAAACAATACATTTGTCTTTTCTGCCAGCATTATTCCTTTCTTCAGCAAAACACTGTAATTTAAAAATATATACAGAATCATTTATTTTTTTATTATGGTAACATATACATAACACAAACTATGACATTTTAACCATTTTAAGGGTACAATTCAGTGGCATTAATTGCATACATGCTATTGTGCAAACACCACCACTATCTTTTAACAAAGCTTTTCCATCACCCAAAACAAATTCAATAACCATTAAGCAGTAACTCCCCTTTATCCCCTCCACCTTTAACCTATTTTCTGTCTCTATAAATTTGCCTATTTCAGATATTTCATATAAGTGGAATTATACAATACTTTGTCATTTGTCTGGCTTATTTCATTTAGTATCATGTTTTCAAGGCTCATCCATGTAGTAGCATGCATCAAAACTTGATTTTTTTCATGGCTGAACAGTATCCCACTGTATGTGTATAAGATATTTTGTTTATCCATTTCTTGGTTGATGAACACTCGGGTTGTTTCCACCTTTTGGCTATTATGAATAAGGTCACAATAAACGTTCATGTACAAATATCTTTTGAGTCTCTGTTTTCAATTATTTGGGGTGTATATCTCAGAGCTGAATTGCTGAGTTGTATGGTAATTCTATGGTTAGCCTATTGAAAAACTGCCATGCGGGTTTCCACAGTGGTTGCTCCATTTTACATTCCCACCAGTAATGTGCAAATGTTCCAATTTCTCCACATCCTTGTCCACACTTGTTATTTTCTGTTTGGGTAGTTTGTTTTGTTTTTTCTTAATCTTACAGCTATCCTAGTAAGTGTGAAATGGTTCCTCATTGTTGTTTTGATTTGCATTACCCTAATAACTAAAGATGTTGAACTCTTTTCATGTGTTTATCAGCCATTTGTACATTTTTTTGAGAAGTGTCTATTCAAGTCTTTTGTCCATTTTTAAATCATGTTGTTTATCTTTTAAGGATCCTTTTGGATTCAGTTTGCTAGTGCTTTGTTGAAGATTTTTGCTTCAATATTCAGAAGGGATATTGGTGTGCACTTTTTTGTGATGTCTTTATCTGACTTTGGTATCAGGTTAATGCTGACCTCACAGAAAGAGTTTGAGAAGAATTGGTGTTAACTCTTCTTGAAATATTTGGTAAAGTTCACCAGTGAAGCTATCTGGTCCTGGACTTTTCTTTGTTGGGAGGTTTTGATCACTGATTCAATCTCTCGACTTGTTATACGTCTAGTGAAATTTTCTATTTCATCTTGAGTAAGTTTGGTTAATTTGTGTGTTTATCCAGTTCATCCAGATTATCCAAAGCTGGCAGTAATGTCCCTATTCTCATTTTAAATTTTAATCATTTATCATTTGTGTCTTTCTTTTTTCCTTTGTCGGTTTAGCTAAAGGTTTGTCAATTTGATTACTTTTTTTACAGAGCCAAATTTTGGTTTTACTGATTCTTTCTATTGTTTATTCTGTTTTATTGATCTCTGCTCTAATCTTTATTTCCTTCCATTGGCTAGTTTTGGGTTTGGTTTACTCTTCCTTTTCTAGTTTCTCAAGGGATAAAGTTAGGCCATTGATTATCTTTTGTTTTTTTCTAATGTAGGAATTTACAGTTATAAGTTTTCCTTTGAGCACTGTTTTTGCTGCATCTTACGCTTTAATATACGTGTTTTAGTTTTCATTATTAAACATCTTATGTTAGGCTGGGCATAGCGGCTCATGCCTGTAATCCCAGCACTTTGGGAGGCCGAAGCGGGCAGATCACCTAAGGTCAGGAGTTTGAGACCAGCCTGGCCAACAGGGTGAAACCCCGTCTCTACTAAAAATATGAAAATTAGCCGGGCATGGTGGTGGGCATCTGTGTTTCCAGCTACTCAGGAGGCTGAGGAAGGAGAATCACTGGAACCCAGGAGGCGGAGGTTGCAATGAGCCGAGATCGTGTCACTGCACGCCAGCCTGGGTGACAGAGCAGGAGTCCATCTCAAAATAAACAAACAAATCTTATGTTTTAATATGTTTGTTTTCATTTTCATTATTTTCTAATTTTTCTTGTAGTTTCTTCTTTGACCAATGAGTGTTTGGTAGTGTGTAGTTTCATTTCCATATATTTGTGGATTTTGCAGTTTTCCTTTGATTTTGATTTGTAGCTTCATTCTCCTTGGTCAGAAAAGATACTGTATATGACTTCAACTTTTTAAAATTTATTCACTTGTTTTGTGGCTTAACATGTAATCTATCCTAAAGCATCTTCCATGTGCCCTTGAGAAAAATATGTATTCTGCTGTTATTGGGTAAAATGTTCTATATACTCATGTTTGGTCTAGTTGGCTTATTCAAGTCTTTTATTTTGTGACTTATCTTCTGTCTAGATATTCTATTCATTTTTGAAAGTAAGATATTGGAGTCTCCAACTATTATTGTACAACTATTTGTTTCCCTTTAATTCTGTCAATATTTGCTTGAAATATTTTGGGTCTCTGTTGTTTGGTGCATATATGTTTATGATTATAACTTTTTGATGATATACATATTTATCTATATATCAATATATAATGTCCTTCTTTGTCATTATAACAGGTTTTGACTTGAAGTTTTTTTACCTAATATTAGTATGGCCTCCTCAGCTCTCTTTTGGTTCTATTTGGATATAATATCTTTTCTATTCTTTCACTTTCTACTTATTTGTGTCTTTAAATCTAAAGTGACTCTCTTACAGAGAGCATTTATCCATTCTGCCAATCTCTGCCTCTGAGTGAATAGTTTAATCCATTTATATTTAAAATAGTACTCCTAATGAAGTACTTCTGCCATTTTGATACTTGTTTTCTGTATGTCTTATACTTTTTTCCTCTCTCATTTTCTCCATTATTGCCTTCTTTTATGTTTAGTTGATTTTTTTGTAGTGAACCATTTTGATTCTTTTCTTATTTCCTTTTCTATCTTTTCCTATATATCTCATTTCCTATAGATCTTTTAGATATTTTCTTTGTGGTTACCATAGCAATTACATTTAATGCCCTAAATTTAAGGTAATATATTTTGAATTGATACCAACTTAACTTCAAAAACATTTAAAAACTATACTACTGCACATCTTTATCTTCCCCCTTTATGTTGTTAATGTCTTTTTACATCTTTAACATTGTGTCCCCAAGAGGAGATTTATTATTTTTACATATGTGTATGTTAAATCGTATTAAAAATAAATGGTAGAGTTACAGACAAAAATTAAATAGCACTTGTTTTTATATTTCCCCTACTTTTACTGTAGGCCATTATTTTCCTCACATGGCTTTGAATTACTGGCTAGTGTCTTTTCATTTCAACTTGAAAGACTTCCTTTGCATTTCTTGTTGGACTCAGCTTTTGTTTATCAGAATATATCCTAACTTTTCCATCATTTTGAAGGACAGTTTTGCTAGATATAAAATTTCAGTTAATAGGTTTCATTTTCTTCCACCCACTTAAATATGTCACTCCACTGTCTTCCGGCTTCCACGTTTTCTGATAAGAAACTGGCCTTTAATTTTAATGAGGATTCCTTGTACATGATGAGTTACTTCTTTCTTGTTTGCTGCTTTCAAGATTCTCTACCTTTGGCTTTTGATGGGTTGGTTAGAATGTCTTAGTGTGGGTCTTTTTGAGTTTATCCAACTTGGAGTTCATTCAGTTTCTTGGATTTGTAGGTTAGTATATTTAATAAAATTTTGGAAGTTTCTGGCTATAATTTTTCAAATATTAGTTCTGCCCCTCTCTTTGTCATCTAAAATTCCCATAACACATATGTTGGTCCTCTTGATGATGACGCACAGGCCCTTTCGTCTCTGTAAACTCTGAAAAAAAAAATTAACAGACCTTATTTTTAATGCCATTTTAGGTTTACAGTGAAATGCAGTGGAGTTACAGAGAATTCCCATATATTCCTTACCCTCACACATATACAGCCTCCCCGACTATCAACATCTCACACCAGAGTGGTACATTTGTTATTATCAATGAACCAACAGTGACACATCATTATCAAGCAAAGTCCATAATTTACATTGGAGTTCACTCATGGTGTTATACATTCTATAAGTTTTGACCAATGTATAATGAAATGTATCTACCATTATAGTGTCATAAAGAATAGTTTCCCTGCCATAAAAATCTCCTGTGCTCCACCTATTCATCATTCCTTCCCCTCATCTGACTGGAATCACGCAGTCTGTAACCTTTTCAAATTAGCTTCTTTCACTTAGCAATATGCACTTAAAGTTTGATATAGTTTGGATATTTCTCTCTGCCTGAATCTCATGTTGAAATGTAATCTCCAGTGTTGGAGGTGGGGCCTAGTGGGAGCTGTTTGGACCATGGAAGCAGATCCTTCATGAATGGCCATCCCCTTGGTAATAAGTGAGTTCTTGCTTTGGTTCACATGAGATCTGGTCATTTAAAAGTGTGTGGCACCACCCCTCCACCTCTCTCTCTCTCTTGTTCCTGCTCTGGCCATATGATGTGTTTGCTCTCCCTTCACCTTCTGCCATGATTGCAACCTTCCTGAGGATTCCCTGGAAGCCAAGCAGAAGCCAGCATCATGCTTCCTACAAAGACTGCAGAACCATGAGCCAGTTAAACCTTTTTTCTTTATAAATTACCCAGTCTTGGGTATTTCTCCATAGCAATGCAAGAATGGATTAACACAAGGTTCAACCATGTGTTTTTTGGGCTTGATAGCTTATGTCTTTTTAGCATTGAATAGTATTCCATTGTCTGTGTGTACCACAGTTTATTTATCCATTTACCTTGTATTAGTCTGTTTGGGCTGCTATAACAAAATAGTACAGACTGGACTGGGCACAATGGCTCATGCCTGTAATCCCAGCACTTTGGGAGGCCGAGGCAGCAGATTGCTTAAGCTCAGGAGTTGAAGACCAGTCTGGGCAACATGGTGAAACCCTATTTCTACAAAGAATACAAAAAATTAGCTGGGCATGGTGGTGCATGCCTCTGGTCCCTGTTACTCGGGAGGCTGCGACAGGAGGATCACTTAAGCCTGGGAGGTAGAGGTTGCAGTGAGCCGAGATCATGCCACTGCACTCCAGCCTGGGTACCAGAGCAAGACTCTGTCTCAAATTTTTTTAAAATAGGAAAAAAAAATATAGATGGGGTGTCTTAAACAACAGAAATTTACTTTCTCACAGTTCTGAGGCTTGAAATCTGTGACAACACTGCTGGCAAATTCACTTTCTGGTGAGGGCTCTTTTCCTGGCTTTATAGGTGGCCGTCATTTTTTCCGTTTTTTTTTTTTTTTATGTCCCCACACGGCCTTTCCTCGTGTATGCATAGAGAGGGGAAGAGAGAGTGCTCTGGTATCTCTTCTTGAGAACACTACTCTTACCAGATCAGGGCTCCACCCTTAACCTGCACTACTTCCTTAGAGACCCCATCTCCAAATACAGCCACACTAGGGGTTAGGACTTCAGCACAGGAATTCTGAAGGGTACATAAAAGGGCCTCTTGGTTACTTTCAAGTTCTGGCAATTATTAATAAAGCTGCTGTAAACATTCAAATGCAGGTTTTTGTGTGGACATAAGTTTCACCTGATTTGGGTAAATAACAAAGAGCCCAATTGCTGGATTGTATAGTAAAAGTATATTCAGTTTTGTAAGAAAACTGCCAAACTGTCTTTCAACGTGGCTATACTGAACCCATGCCTGTAATCCTAGCACTTTGGGAAGCTGAGGTGGGAGGATCACAAGCTCAGGAATTCAAGACCAGCCTGGGCAACATAAAAAGAAAAAAAAAGTGGCTATACAATTGGCATTCCAACAAATGAAATTTTCTTCATTCTTTTTCCTTTCTGCTCCTTAGGCTCAATAATTTCAATGGCCTTATCTTCAAGTTCACTGACTCTTCTGCTTGCTCAGTTCTGTTGCTGAAGCCACCTAGATTGTTTTATTTTTATTTTTCAGCTTCAGAATTTCTGTTTGGTTCCTTTTTATAATTACTATCTCCTTGTCGACACTCTCATCTTGTTCATACATCATTTTCCTGGCTTCCTTTAGTTCATTGTCAATGTTTTCATTTCCATGTTTAGCATTTTGAGCATATTTAAGACAATTGTTTTAAAGTCTTTGTTTAGTAATTCCAATGTCTGGACTTCCTCAGGGACAGTTTCTATCCATTTATTTTGTTCCTTTGAATGAGCCATACTTTGTTTCTTTGAATGCTTTGTAATTTTTGTGTGTGAGCTTGAAAAGTGGACATTTGGCTCCTACGATGTGGTAACTAGGAATTAGATTTTCTTCACTTTCCTAGGCTTTGCTGTTTTCTGGTTCTTGAAGGCTGTAGCAGTCAGTTTATTTGAGGCCTGTCTCAAACATTATTTCAAAGACTGTATTCCTTGTCAATATGGTCACTGAAGACTCTGTCCCTTAGCTATGTTCAGCTAGTGTTTTGGCAGATTTCTTCGAATACCAGGAGCTCTCACAGTCTTTGCAAATTGGCTCTAAGCCAGGGCTCTACTTCAATTCTTAGGCTTGCACTGTGCTAAGGGATCAGCCCAAAATGAAAGCTCAGGGTTTTCTCAGGTGCTTTCTAAGCATGTGTTTTGCCCTGGGCATGTGCATGGCTTTCTAAATTTCCATGTATACATGGTTGCTTTTGAATATTTTAATTTCCCAAATAAACTCTCTCTAGATTTTGCCTTAGGCAGTCTATTGCATGTTTCAACTGTAATCTCTGCCTCCAGGTGTCTAGAGTTATTACTTCAGTTTGCCGTGTTTTCCAGCTTTTTCTGCCCTAAGTTCTGAGTTAGACAAAACAGAGGACAGGATCTTGCATCAACCCTTCAGGTAGCCCCTTGTATTGGTCTGCTTGGGCTACTGTAACAATATACCACAGACTGAATAGCTTAAACAACATAAATTTATTTTTCACAGTTCTGGAGGCTAGCAAGTCCAAGATCCACATTCTGGCTGACTTGGTTTCTGCTGAGGGCTTTTTTTTTTTCTGGTTTACAGATGATTGGCATCTCTCTGTGTCCTTACATAATGGGGAAAGAGAGCTCTTCCTCTTCTTAGAAGGGCACCAGGTCTACTGGATAAAGGGCCCTACCTTTATCACCTCATTTTACCTTTATTACCTCCATATACCTATAAACCCCAACAGGATAGGGTTGGGGGGCTTTCCAAACACACAGCGGTTCCTAGAGGTTGGTATGCCTGGAGACAGCATGGAAGCTACATGCCATTTCTCCCATACCTTACATTATACATCTCTTCTATCTGGCTATTCATCTGTATCCTTTATAATAAGTGAGTAAACATAGGTAAAGTATTTGCCCAAGTTCTGTGAGCCATTTCAGCAAAATGGGAATTTATGGAAAAAGGCTGAGGAAGGAGATGCTTCTCAATGGAGGATGAATAGAAACCAGAAAAGGTATCTACCACAGGTCCACCTTTAGATTTAGAAATACAACTTGAAATAAGAAAAAAAAAATGCCACATTATGCAGCTACACAATTTGTAAGTCAATTAGTTCTTTACAATAACAGATGCAACATATACATTTATAAATAATTTACTCCTTTGGGATTTCAAACTAAAGAAACCAACTATTTCATTTACAACAAATGTTTCTGCTTCTGTTTCTCATCAATTGAGAAAACAATTAAGGAATACTCTTGATTCTTATTCCAGGGAACTGGAGGAACAGAGAGTAACCCTAGGGATTCTAGCCTCGTAAGCTGAGAATATTTTTCTAGATGACACAAGTTCCTCAGTGCACACGTGACAGTCTCTGCTTTCAAGCTAATATGCTGTGAGTCACACTGAGTCCTCTTCCCTTGAGGTTAAATGTACTTCCTAGACTTTTTTCTTTATTTCTTCCTCTGCTCTATTCTCCATCTGAACCCTATTCCTCTGTCAGTCAATTCAGAAAACACCACCAGCCGTTCCAATTGTCTCAAAATCTTGGTAAATTTTGTGAAGACGTAGCTGCAAGGAATAAAAACTGTTTAGAAAATCTTCCCTTAGGTTATACAGGGTGGCACTGTCAGGTATTTTCAATAGGAGATGAGAAGCTGTCTAAAAGCACAATGTTGCCAGAAGGATTTCCCTCATCTTTGTTTCCTGGTGTCCATTTTTCACTTACTTCCTAATTTAACATAGGAAATGAGGTACATGAAGCTCTGTCCCTTTCTTACCCCTAGAATTCTTCTTTTTCTTACTCAGGGATCATCCACAACAACAAATAGTCTGATATCTAATTAGGCCAGTAGTTTCAACTGATTTGGGCTCACAGTTGAATAGCTGAAAACAAGAAACAACAATACAATTAAACTAGGGACCATTCATTCACTACATAATCAGGACTTGAATCTCACACTAAGGCTCTGTCTTACTCATTCTAACATATATTACCTCTCAGGTTAGTCATGCCACAAAAATGTGCATTGTTATAATTGCCTCATCTCTACCTTTGATGTTCCAGTATATAAAGCCTTCCCCTGTGTGCCCTAAGCTCTGCCCTCTGAAAGAGAAAGACTTGTTTTCTGCCATTTATTTTCTTGCTATTGGATGCAATTTTGCTCTAGGATGAACTCATAAACTCAAATAACCGGTTAAATATATGTTTGTTATTAAGTTTGTTTAAGTACCTCTGTTACAATAAAGAGGAGCAGATATACTCAGCCACAGTTACAAATTAATTCATGAAAAGAAAAAGGAGCCAGTGATAATTATGCATTCTTTTAAAAGAGTAATAAATTTTCAACAGGCTAATAAAATGAGATCTGACATATAAGCTACCATTCCGCCATACTCTTAAATCCAAACTGCTTGTTATGAATGATGCTACTATTTTATACAGTACACAGTAAAATCAGTAAATAAGTTGTCACTTCCTGAAAGAAAGATCTCCATGGTATTCACGTAAAATACTTAATGCTTAACTGCTTAAACATAAGGTAGACCTCATCAGCCTAATTTAATTAAAAGAATGCTAATACTGTATATATAAAGCATATTTATACATAATCTCATTGACTGCCTTTTGGAGTACATTGGTATTATTTTCCCCAGTTAGTGGATAGGGAAATTGAGATTCAGAAGGGGTAGGTGACTTATTACAGGTCATCCAGCTAATCAGTGATAAAACTGGGGGCACTGAAGGATAAGTACCTTGACTGGGCTTACCAAAGTGGTGGCTACAAAAAGGCTAGAGGTGTGTTTAAAAGTTTACAGGAGAGCCATCCATTTTCAGTTGACTTTTTCAGGAAATGATTCAGTTTGAAAAGGAAGAATGCAAGAATCCTGCAAAAGAGGGCTTTGAGAGAATTTAGATCTGTAGATTCTGATCTTTGGATCGATTACATCAAAGGAGAATTGAACCGCCCCCTTGGTAGACCTGAGAAATGCAGACAGACCTATTGGTGAGCCATGAAAATGCTGCAGGGAAAGTCATCAGAGGCATCTGTAGCTAAACGTGCTATGCATCAGACTGGTCATTTGTGAAGAGAAATAATACAGCCTACCTTGTGAAATAGTATTGCAAGCCCTGTGGGCAAATTTGTATTATAAGTCAATCTGTAATTTGCTTGGAGATGGCAGACAAGATGGCTGGCTGGTTTCGAGACATGGTTTAATTTTGTGTTAACTCATTAATTTTTAAAACATTTTTGATTGAGGAAAAACAACTGGGGGCAGAATTCAAGTTTCAAGGATTCCATTCTGTTCACCGTGTTACTTCCACAACTGGCGAAGTTTAGCTCTCAGTAAGATTCACACTTCATTTCTCTATGAGAGATCAAAAAACCCTTAGATAATACAGGTGTCAGGGAGCAAAGATAAACCTAACATTGTATGCTACCCACTAAAGTGTAAAAGATATACTTCATTCAATTATTTATTCATTCAAACAACAAATAATTGAACACCAGCATGTGTGCCAGGCATTGTGCTAGGCTCTATTATATCCAGCTGCATGAGTTACCTATTGTTGCATAACAAACTATCCCAAAACTTAGTGGCTTAAAACGAAAATCATTTAAACATTTAGTATCTCACCATTTCTGTGGCTTAGGAATTCAGGACCGTAGCTGAATGATTATGTCTCAAGGTCTCCTTCTAGGTTACAGTCAAGATGTTGACCAGGATGCATGCAATCATATGAAGGCCTGACTGGGATTGGAGGATCTGCTTCCAAGCTCATTCACATGGCTATTGTCAGAAGGCCTCAATACCTCACCGATTGTTAGCTGGAAGCCTTAATTACTCACCATGTGAGCCTTTTTATAAGTTACCTGAGTGACCTTATGACTCTGACATGACAGCTACCTGGCCCCAACAAGTAATCCTGGAGAAAGAATAAAAAGGCTGGCATGTTTTATAGTTTCCCCTCAGAAGTCACACTACATCATTTCCTCTGCATTCTATTCATGAGAACAAGTCATTTGATACAGTCCAAACTCAAGGTGAGGGGAATGAAGTTTGACCCTTTGAAGGAAGAAGTATCAAATAATTTGTGAACATATTTTAATACTACCATATGAGTTAATAAAATTTAATTCATGAAATTTAACTTAATTATTATAAAGTGGTGTCAATATATTTGTAAAATGTAGGTATTTAAAGGGAAACTAAGTCTATTAAAGAAGACAATGTTTCACTGTTGTTGCTAGCTTGTTTACATTTTCTGTCACCATTTTCGTCTCATTCTGTTAAAAAAATTCTGTATATAGTGCTAAATAAATGATGACTTGGCCTATCTTGTCAACTAAGAATTGGATTTGATACTTATAACAGACAATAACAAAATCTTATATAGAAGGAATATAGTCTTCCTCACCTAACAACAAATCCAGAAGTGGGACAGTCCAGAGCTGGTCAGTTTGGCCCTCCAAAGCAACCACGGACCTAGGCACCTCCGGTGTCCTACATTATTAATAGTGTCAGTGTGGCTTTTGTTATTATGGGTGAAATATGTCTGCTCTACATCCAGTATCATGTCCCTGTTTCAGGTTCAAAAAAATAAAAGGGGTGGGTACAGATCAAATGGCTAAAGCAATATTTATTGAGCCTCCTCTACAGAAATTCACTTTTATTTAATTGATAGTCACATGGCCAGCCATGACTTAAGAAAGTCTAGGAACATGAATATTTTTAACTGGACATGCTGTCACCCTGAAGAAATCAGAGTTCTACTAGTAAAGAAGAAAGGATATTGGTTTAGACAACCAGTAATGTCTACCGACCTACTCTAAGGAGCTTTAACATGCATTATTAAACACTAGACACAAGAAAAACAACAATACTCAGGTTTACCTGTGTTTCAAATATGTTTCAAATGGGAGAATCTGGTCAGTTTTGAGTCCCACATATAAAGTATATTTTTCAAAGTAACCACAACTTTTATTCTCTAATTGAAAATGTTAAAGAATTGGCTGACATTAGTGTTACTTCTAGGAATGTGTCCAAGGAGATAATTGCACAATTGTGCAACAGCCTGTGGATAAGAATGTTCATAAGAGACTTTTTTATGATAGTAAAAACTTGGAAACATAAATGTCAATCAATAGAATACTGGTTGGATAAATGATGGTATATCCATCTAACAGACACTATGCAACTTTTAAAAATAATGTTTTTCATGACTGTTGTTCACTGTGCAGATAATAAAATCCAATTTATGAAATATTGTATTTATATGTCTATATGTGCTTCTATTCTTAGAGAGATGCCTAGAAGAATGTAACACAAAATTTAAGAAATGGTTATCTCTATATTATGGGATTTGGACAGATTTTAACTTCTTTGCATTTTTGTTTAAAATTTTTCAATTTGTTTGCACAAGCACGTAGTGTTTTTATAAAACAATAGTTATTAGCTGGGTGCCACAGCCTATGCCTGTAATCCCAACTACTGGGGAGGCTAATGTAGGAAGATTGCTTCAGCCCTCAGCCCAGTTGCTCGAGGCTGTTGTGTGCATGATCACATCTGTGAATAGCCACTGCACTCCAGCCTGGGCGACACAGAAAGATCATATCTCTTTAAAAAAAGAAAAAAAAAAAAGCTATTTTCAAAGAAAGGCAGGGTGGGAGCAGGGCTGATTTGGTCCAGTATTGTTTCCAGCAAGTAATTTTCCTGGATAAGGCTGTGGCTGACCTTATCTTAGGAAAGGGTTCTAATCTTTGCTCAATGGAAAAAAGTGTTATTCTTTATTCATTATAACTTTTAATAAAATTAAAATGAGAAAAGGAGTTGTGAGTTTTGGTTTCTATTTGGAACACTGACCTCTGAAAGGGTCTCCCTTCCATATTTTACAATGGGTGAAAGATATTGTGGAAAGGTGGAGGGGGAGGAGGCTGAGCAACAACTGTATACAAGTTGGGGAGGAGTAGAGGATGGAGGTAAGGATGTAAGGGAGAGAAGTCTGGACCCATGAGCCAGGGAAAGAGCAATAACCTGGACAGCAGGATAGCTGCACTTCTCTTCTAGCATGGACCTATCAGTTTATCTTTCTGGCCTTAGTTTTCTCATCTGAAAAATAAGACATCTGTATTAGAATCACTACATGTGCTTTATGTTTCACAATTCTTTTGGATATATTGATGCTATGTCCTGAGAAACTACACTACAGCTGAACCTAAGCAAATTAAAGAAAAAATAACAACAATAATGTATATTGTTTATTACTTGTCTCAGGCATTCTAAGTAACTTGCCAATAGGTAGAGGGACCAAGATGCCAGCCCAGGCAGTCTGATTTTAGAGCCCATACTCTAACAACCATGCTGTAGAGTACTAAAGAACCGCTTGGATAGGGCATTTAAAGGAAGCAGGATAGCTTTCCTATTCTGGAACTTGGTCTTGTAGATAATGGTTAATGCCAGTAAAGCTGATACCTTACCCTCACCTCATGACTATTATGGGGTTGCCTCAACAGGTGGCAGTCTCCTCCCCCTATTCCAAAGACAACTTCCTTATTCAGAGCCCAGTGAAAGGGGAGATAGGTTTTGTTAAGCCCCGAAGAAGCTCTTCTGGCCATTGCCCCACAGAACCGAAGTGCTGACAGAACCAAAGACGAAATGTGCCTACAGAAAGCTTTCTAGTATCATTATCTCGGTCATCATACATGATGACCCAGCACCCGTATGCATACTTCATCTTATTACTTCCTTTCATTAAGTCCAGAGAGATACTGAGTAAAGAGAGTACGAGGAAAGAACAGAAAAACAAATGAACGGGTTAAGAGCAGGCTACAGGCCACAAGAGTCCTGCAGGGTTAGAGCCTGTACCTCAGACAAAGATCCCTCAGTCATCCCCTTTTTCCTTCCCTGTTGTTGCCCTGCCTTCGTCCCCCTCAAGATCCGGAAGCAAGTGCATAACCTTATAGCAGGATCAGAAAGGTGGAGGGTAGCAGACACAAGCCGCAAGGGGGCTATAACGAAATCTGTTGCTCTTGGAAGACCGACTTCCCAGACCTCTTCGCATTAGGGCGGAGCGTGCGCCCGGCGGCCAATCCCCGGTTCCTCACGTCGCCGTATCCCCGCCCACCGCCCCTCCCGCTCCGCCCTTCCCTGGGGCTGGTGCGGCGGCGGAGACGTCAGCGCCAGGAGACTCCGGGTGGCGGCTGCGCCGTAGGCGGGCCACGGCTTGGACGCGCTGCGGGGAGGGGCGGAGCGAGCGGGCGGGAGCGCGCGTAGGGCCCGCCTTGGCCGCCGCTGCTGCTGCTGCCGCCGCTGCCGGGGAATAATCTGGGCGGCAGCGGGCGGCCTCGGCTAGCGGCCACGAGCCACTTCTGCGGCTGCCCAGAGAAGCAAAGGTCGCCGGTCCGAAGTCGTCCCCCTCTCCGCCCCCCAGGAGGGGCGAGAGGGAGCAGCAGCTGATGTCAGGTACGGCCGGCGGAGGCGCCCTCAGGCTGCGGGTCCAAGGTCTCGGCTCCCCTCGCCCTCTCCCCGCCCTCCCCCTTCTCCGGGTTGGTAGGGAAGCGTGGAGGATAGACCTAAACCCCGGGCGCGGCGGAACAGGTGTCTCGGGGTCAGAGCCGGGCTGGGGTCGTCCGGGCTCCTGAGGAAGGCGCGAGGACTTCCTGCTCCCGGAGTCTTAGCGATCTGCCACAGCGTCCGGGTGCGTACCCGGCCGCAGTTTTGTGGACTTGTAGCCTCCTCTTCGTCGTGGGTCCTTCCGTTGTGCCCGCTCGCGCCCCTCTTCTGCCGGCGCGCTGCCTGGCGGCGCCGCAGGGTGCAGAGTGCGCCCGGGCCGGACCACTTAGCGGTCCTGCCCCGCCGGGCCCTCCCGGTCCCTCCTCCCGCGCCCTCCCCGCCCCGCCGCTGACCTGGGGGTCCCGCCGGACTCGGCGCCCAGGTGTGGGGCACCTTCGCCGAGAGCTACTCAGCTGCCGCGCCGCCTGAGCGCCCAGCGAGCAGGCTCCTTCCAGAAGTGCCTGGAGCTTGCTTGGGGCTAGCTTGGATCATCAGGTTTGTCTGTGGCTGATTTATTTCTTTAAGTTTCCGTGCCGCAGAGTGAACCAGATACGTGTGTGTTGGGGCATTCGCTGCGTGGGGGAGGAAGAAAGGCATTAAAAAGAATTTTTTTTTTTCATCTCCACCCCATTTTCCCCCAGCAAATTGTGATGGGATTAGTAGGTGTTGACAAGTTGTCCATATTGCTTTGAATTTGGGTAAGTTGTACACTCTTAAAACATGACCATAATTTAGCGCTGTGGATTTATTCTTTCCTAGCCCTTACCGTCTCCCCACCCCCACCGCCCCGCATTTAAAGCAAACAACAATATCAGCAACACAAAACCCACACATTCTAGAAAAATTCTCAAGATTTCTAACCTAGTTCTCTATATCCATTGTACATATTACTCGATTTCCGTTTCACGCTTTTTAAGATAGAAAACTATTGTGCTAACCATGGATTGATTTCATTATGAATTTAAAAGTTATAAATTTAGAATCATAATGAATCAGTGAATAATTAGGCCAGTGTGTAAGGGACAGAAATATGTTAACTTACTAAAAGTTGGGCATAGAACATAGCTTTGCCAGGAAAAAGTGTGCATAATTTCAAGTTGCTTGATTGTGGTGTGAGTTTGGGAAGTGGGAATCTCAGTTTTTAGAAGGTATTTAGATGACAGCTTTTCACCCTCTTAGGTAAATGTCAGATGAGCTTGATGCACATGATACTGTATGTTTTAAGTATTGTATATAGTAAACTATGCTTTCTACCAGCCTTTATATGTAGATGTACAGTTTAAGTGAATATAAGGTTTCAAGTTAGCAAACAGTTAACTCTTCACCTAATGTTGAGTAAAGCAATGATTTAGTCAGGAAAGTATGACTCATTTAAAATTCTTCATAAAGAGAATAATTTTTCAGTATTAGTGGAGAACCATTAAATGCCTCTCTTAAATTTGCCTGGAATTTGTATTTTTTTGTATCTTCCTACTTAGGATTAAGCATTTTAGAAATATTTTGTGTTTCCTATTTAAAGTTTTTCATAATTATTCTTTTTAAGACTAGACTCCATTGAGTAAATTCAATATTCAGTTATTAAAATCGTATCACAAATTTATTTCAGGGTACATATAATGAATTCGTGTTTACCTAATAGAAATATGAAAAAGTATGTCACTAGGCATATGCTACTATTTGTATATTGATTTGTGCTAAAATTAAAATTGCATTATGCAGTTTAACTTTATAAGCCATGGTAATTTAAAGTAGAGTCTTTGTGTGGTAAAATTATTGATTGGAATTTTTATGACAGTGCAGCTATAAATAAACCTTAAGTAGAAAATGGAAAGCTTGATGCTGAAATTAAATTCAGATAGGCTTAAAAGTTTAAGCTTCCCAATACAACCATCTTTTCTTTTAGAAGATTTCTTAAGATTTGATTAAAGAGGCTGATGTACAAACTATAGCAAGGCTGAAAGAAAGGTATGACAAAAATCTTTTTACTCCAGATTCAGTGGGATTAAGTCATTCTTTTAAAAGAAGAAAGGGGGTGGAGTTGGGAAGGAGACTTGTTCATAAAATGAGAAATTAGCCTTTTATCTTGAAATCTGGTTAGAGAGGAACTCCAATGTGTACTTAAATTATTTTGCACCTAATTCAAATGTCCAAGGGGAAAATATATGCCAACATCTGTAATGTGTGAGAATAGGAAGTGTACCTTGGAAAGAAAAAAATATATATATAAAGAAACTGGTGTTTGTGATCTAGGGAAGCACATAAGAAGGTGGGTGAAACTGAAAGGAAAGTCTAAATAAGCACCTGTAGTATGTGCTGCCTTGCACACTCAAGGGGCATGTTGGGGGCAACGAGAGGCAACACTAGGGAGATTCTGGAATGGGAAACCTGTATAGTAAAGCACATTTAAATGGGTAGATGTTGGATAATAGGCAGAACTTGAAATTAAATACAGCTTGGCATAGTTATTTGCATTCTTGGTCATTGTATTAGTTTTCTAGGGCCTTGGTAACAAAATACGACAAACTGGGTGATTTAAAACAACAGATTTATTGTCTCAGTTCTGGAGGCAAGATGTCTGAAGTCAAGATGTAGGTAAGGCTATGCTCTCTCAAGGTTCGAGGGGACAGTCTGTTCCATGCCTCTTACCTTGTGGTACTGCCAATCCTTGGCATTTTTTGGCTTGCAGCTATATCACTCCAGTCTCTGATTCTTATCACGACATAATCCCTGTGTGGCTCTGTCTTCATATGGTGTGCTCCACTTGTTAGAAGGATACTAGTCGTATTGGATTAAGATCCACCCTAATCACCTCATCTTAACTTATTACATCTGCAAAGACCCTGTTTTGAAAAAAAAAAAGAAAGAAGGTCACATGCAGAGGTACTGGAATTAGGACTTCAACCTATCTTTTGGGGGACCTATCTTTTGGTGTAACAGTTACACGGTTTCTTTTACAGTGTTCAGTAAATGTTTAGCATCATAGGCTGAGTCAGAGGCTACCGTGAAAACAGGATGGGACACTTATATTTATTTACATATATCAGTGATGTCTTAATAGCAGAATATCTGAAACTGGGTAATCTATAAAGAAAAGAAATTTATTCCTTACAGTTATGAAGGCTGAAAAGTCTTGGTTCAGGGGGCCACATCTGGTGAGGGCCTTGCTGGTATGGACTCTGCACAGTCCTGAGGTAGCACAGGGCACCACATGGTGAGGGGTCCGAGCATGCTAGCCCAGAACTCTCTTTTCTTATAAAGCTACCAGTTCCTTTCCCATGATAACTCGTTCATGAGGGCTGAACCCTTAGGACCCAGTCACCATTTAAAGACTCCAGCTTTCAGTACTGCAACACTGGTGATTAAGGTTCAACATGAGTTTTGGAGGAGGCAAGCATTCAGACCACAGCAAGTGCTTACTATGTGCCACGTCCTAGAGATAAAACAGTGGATAGACAAAAATCTCTGTCCTCATGGAGCTTACATTCTGAAACAGGTTCTAAAAATGTGGTCCCTGGATCTGCAGCATCAGCATCACCTGGGAAGTTGTTAGAAACTGAAATTTTCAGGCTCCATCCCAGAACTCTTTATTTAACTAGCCTTCCAAATAATTGTGATGCAGACTCAGGTTTCAGAACCACTGATCAAGATGGAAAAGACACAGTAAACAAGATGGATAAGTAAAATAATATTAGATATTAATAGGTGCTGTGGGTAAGCATAGGGTGGGCCAGTGAAGACTCCTGAAAAGTGAAGACCTGAAGGAGTTGGAGAGTGAGCCATATGAGCATCTGGGTGCGTGTTCTCAGCAGAGAACAGTAAGTGCAAAGACCCTGGCACGTCTAAGGAATGGCAAGCAGTTAGTATTAGGTTCAGTCTATGAAATGGCCGCTGTTTGTTCATTTTTTGACCTACAGAAACACCAAATACTAGGGAGAAGAGATCAGAAAGAAAGGGGTGGAGTAGGATGCAGATTGTGGGAAGATCGTTGTAAGATTTTGGTGGTCTGAGATTAGGAAGATGGGAGGTTTTTGAGCAAATGAGTGACGTGATCCGATTTCAGTTTTAAAAGGATCACTGTGGCTACAGGTAAAAATGGGCCTAAGAAGGAAAGGCTAAAGGAAGGGGAAAGTTGGTTAGCATGTTGTTGCAGTAGTTAAAAGACAGCGGTTGCACAGACCAGGGTGATAGCACTGGAGAAGTTAGAAGAGGTACAAGACTAAAAACACACAGTGAATGTTTTGAAAAGTAAGTTTTTTTCATCCCACTCCAGTTACCCAGTTGTCTTCCTCAAAGGCAATTAGTGTTAAAAGTAGTCTTATCTCTATTCTTCTTGAGATTTTTTTTTTTTTTTTGAGACAGTCTCCCTCTGTCGCCCAGGCTGGAGTGCAGTAGTGCGATCTCAGCCCACTGCAAGCGCCGCCTTCCGTGTTCACGCCATTCTCCTGCCTCAGCCTCCCCAGTAGCTGGAACTATAGGTGCCCGCCACCGCGCCTGGCTAATTTTTTTTTTTTTTTTTGTATTT